AACCCTAACTATTCTATGATTCTATATCTCTTGCTCAGGCTCTGCCTCACAACATTCCCCCTCCGTTCCCATGCTGGGATGGGCATCCCAGTACACCTGGTCCCTGGTCCCCATCGGCTGGGGGGTACCTGTTGAGCATGACAAGATGCCTGCAACACGTCACCTGAAAAACAGAAATTCCAAATTATGTTTCAGTGTGTTAAAAAAAGAGCACAGAAGAATGTAGATGAATGCAGTCAGAGAAAGGGAGATGATAGAACAATTGGTGAGGTTCGAGATCCCCACATGGCTTTACTTGGCAGGAGTGGAAAGGAAGGAGACCAAATCCCAGCACAGCAATCTATCTGGCTGCAAGAAAGGACTGGCATATTTGCCAATGCTTTTGGCTGTCCGGAAGCACACAGAGGGGAACGTGCTTTTATGCTGTCTCAACTGTTAAAAACTGAAAACCCCCATATTGGTGATGCCATCAACTTTTGGGAGATAATGCTGTGCTTTGGTCTTTGGAAGGAAATGGACTTTCTTTCTTTCTTTGTAGAAGGTGAGAAGTCCTCTTGCTGACGAGTTTACTACTTAGAATAGCAAGAAGGGATGCAAGGTACAGCAGAAGGGACGCGAGGTAGAGAAGAAGGGATGCGAGGTACAGCAGAAGGGCTCTGAAGATCCCCTCTGATGAGGACTTCCACAAATGCAATTTCTTTGAGAAAGATTTCTGTTACAGAAATTGATTTCCAACTGAAGTAAAAATTTACACATCATAGGGTAAGAAAAAAGGACATCATTGAAACAGCAACTCACCAAAACCACACCCAGAGTTGCTGTCCCTGCTTATGAGGCTGCCAGTGCTTCTCAGGAAAGCCTGGAAAACACACAGAAACTATGCCAATTTATCCCCTGGGGTCCATGCCTCCTCTGCAACCTTGGTTGCTTCTACTACAGATGCTAGTGCCTCAGAGCAAGTTTCTTAAGTACTACTGCAAGCTCTTCTAAAGTTATGGACTGAAAAAGCAGAAAGCTTTGATTCTGAATATCTGAACTGTTACAAATACTTTCTTTTCTCTTTCAGCACAGCCGTATTTTCATGGTATCATTTAATTTTAAGTGCACAGAAACAGAAGATTATGCTAACAGGAGGAAACAACAAATGGAGGGGAGTAAGCTTCACATAGCATCACATGCTCCACAACAGACCTTATTTTAAACATTTGTGTTAAAATATTTCATAGAAAAAACACAGAAGGAGAGTTGGCACAGTCTTGATATCAACCTTAAAGTCCATACTACAAGTACCTTTGGAGAAATCCAGACACACATACCCTGTGCTTGCCCTCTTCCTTGCCCTTTTGTGGTGGAACAAAGGGCAACCACGGTGAAATGGTGGCAGCTGACATCCTGCTGAGAGAGGAAAAAACCCTTTAACATTGGGCTCGATAGGAATCCAAAGCTTCCCTTGTTGGTGCAGTTCTGTTAAGACTACAACCAAGCCAAGGTAAAAGTATTTCGCATCATATTTGGTAGAGCTGGTGAGAGAGGCTGCTAGAGTTTTGCATTGTTTAGACAACCCTGTCTAACTCACTGGCAGCTTTGAGTTTCAGTAGAACTGCTCTGATGGAAACACGCATGTGAGGGACACAGATACCCACATGCTTTTTCTTGAGCCTGTGTTCAACCAGGATTTTCTCACCTTATTGGTCCCAAGTTGTGTATTTTTTTGTTAAAGTGCGCAGCGATACATCTGTCCTTGTCAACTGCCTCCTCGCAAAAATGGAATGATTTTTATTTTTCCAGGCTGCTTCTCCAAACAGCAAGATCTTTTGCAACTGCCATTGTGCCACCAAAGGGCATGGCTGAGGCTGCCTCCCAGCTTCTGACCATCCTAAGATTTAACAGACACATGCTCTATTCCATCTCCCAACAGCTAAAATATGTAACGCTCTCAGATCCAGAGCACAACCCTGCGCCTGCCCACATGCTCCTGTTGTTTCAACAAGGAGCTGCCTCTGCAAGCACGGCAGCACACGCAACACCAGTTTCACCAGCGTCGATGTTAAGTGAACATGGTTTCTGAGGATTTAAACCATAAACCGTATCTTGACATTTGGCCATAGCAGAAGCGATCTCTAGCTCCAACTCTACAAAAAAGAAGTAACACAAATTGCAAACCCACCGCAGCAACAGGTTCTAAAACACTCAGACCTGGAACAAAAAATAAACCAGCTCCGTTGCATGGCAGAGGCAGGCAGAGAAAAGGGTCAGCATTCATAGCCCCTACAGGGCATGGCATTCTCCTTCCATTTCTGAACCTGTCTGTTAGACTTAAATATCGCAGCACTACTACAGCAATTTTGACAGTAGGCAGTGACAGCCCTGCCGCTGGACCTGCTATTGACTGGCACTATTAACTCAGCAGGACACACAGACAAAGGAACATGTTTTGCCACACATAAACCTGATTTCCTGAATATTTACGTTTCTCAAAAATAGCCATTTGGAACTGCCATGGTTTAAGCCCAGCCGGCAACTCAGAACCACACAGCCGCTTGCTCACTCCCCCCGCTTCTTCCTTCCCCAGCTCCCGAAGGGATGGGGAGGAGAATCTAAAGAATGTAACTCCCATGGGTTGAGGCAAGAGCAGTCCAGTAACCACTACAGCTACCACCAATAACAATAAGGGAAATAACAAGGGGAGAGGATACAATTGCTCACCACCTGCCGACCAATACCCTGCCTGACCTGATCAGCAATCTGGGCCTTCTGGGTAACTCCCCCGTTTCTATACTGGGCATGACATGCTGTGGTATGGAATACCCCTTTGGCCAGTTTGGGTCAGGTTTGGGTCCCGTCTCTGCTTCCTCCCAGCTTCCCATTCCCTTCCTCCCTGGCAGAGAATGAGACCGAGAAAGTCCTTGATCGAAGTAAACATTACTAAGAACAACTCAAAACATCGGTGTTATCAGCATGGTTCCCAGGCTGAAAGTCAGAAACACAGCACTACACCATCTGCTAAGGAGGAGAAAAAATGACTGCTGAACCCAGGACAGGAACATTCATTACATTTCTACTGGCATCTAGGTGCTCAAAACTTCAGTATACTGACACCACATATTGCCAGAAATTTAGTTATATGTATAAAACCAAAAGGCTACTTCAAATTTGCCCACAAAATTAGTATGATAAACAGAGAAATTGTCCAAAAGGCACTAACACGCAGTTCTTAATTTATCATATATGAAAGCTAATGCTTTTACCTGCAAAGAAAACATTCCTACCGAGGGACCAGTTCAGGAACGAGGCATTTCTCCGTTGACTGCAATTTTTCATCAGGCAGCGAATCTGCCTTTTCTCTGGGTTCCATGCAGAGTATCTGCAGCACCCTCGACCTCGCTTCTGCCGGCTGCGAATACCACAGGCTCCGGCTGGGGGGATCGACCCATGCCTGCGGCCACTCACCTGCCCGATGCTGGTCCCAGAGCAGAACAGAACCGAGCAACTGCTGCTCCTGCCCAGGGCAGAGGAAAACAACAGTGACGGGCTGCAGGACAGAGACGGGGGTTTAGATATAGACACAGGGAGCATGACAATGACAGAGATAAAAAGAGACAGAGAGGACAGCACTGGGGGAAAACCAACTGTGATGGGCGGTGAGTGGCCCCGAGAGCGCCTGCTGTGCAGGACTTGGGGAAAGATTTCATAAAAGATAGTGAAGATATAAAAGTATCCGCTGAAAGAACATTTCAAAAGCAACCACACTGAGAAAGCACATGAGATGACGGCAAATTAAAACCCAGACATGGAAAGAAGAAGTAGGACAGAGAACAGGGAAGAAGGCTTGAGCAATACGCAGAGAGATGCAGATGGGAACAAAGTGATGGAGAAACAATGGGATGGAAGACCTGCTTCTCACAACCT